ATTCGTAAGGTAGAACTGGGGTCATGATAGGGGGGCAGCGGAGAGCATTGAAGAACTAGAGGAAAGTTGTGTGTTTCATTGGTGCTGTGCTACACCCCTGGCTGGCTCATCCTTTCCTGGTGACCCTTCTGTGAGACGATGTCCAATCGTCTGCAGATGGGCTTTGGGTCTCCATTCTGACTCCCCTTGTTCACACTGAAGTCTTCTGATGCCTGTTACCCAAGAGATCATCTTTAAACCTGGAAATACAAACCAAAAAGACCCCTTAAGTCTACTCATGGACAACCAGTCATGTAGCTCAACCGGTAAAGAAGGTCTGCCTGGAGGAGTGTGCCTGCGCCAGCTGATGGGGCCAGGGGCCTCCAGGCCTGCTTGGGGTAGGTGGGTGTCCCTGGTGGGAGACAAGCGGGGCCTTCGCCAGCTGAGGGTCCCCGCCCCACTCCCCCCAGGGTGAAGCCGTCAAGCATGTGCAGCTCCTTCCAGAGTCTGGACACCATGTACAAGGTGGCCAAGGTGTGGGTGTCACGGCTAGAGTGGGCGGGACCCGGGCTCCCCTGGCTGCCTGGCTCTACCGATACCTGCTGGAGACCACTGTCATCATCTTCCTGGTGTCCCGCCCTGCTGCTCGCCATCATCAACCTCAACACCGAGGTGGTGAAGGGCCAGAAGGCCATCTGCCTGTCCAAGGAGTAGATCACTAGCGAGGGTGAGGACAAGATCTTCCTAATCAACAAGAGCCACTCCTTCTAGGAGAGGAAGTTGTGGAGTAGTGGAGGGCCTGCAGGGCCCAGCGGGCAGGCCCGGTCATGCCCAGAGGACCCACTCTGGCACCAGTGATGCTGCCCCCGCAGGGTGGGGCGGCTACTGTGTTTGGATGTGGTCATTTCCTATGCTTCAAGACCCTGCAGCAGGGAACAAGCCCAGGACTGCTGCTGGTCCTCGGTGCCTTTACACCCAGGACAGATGGACTGTAGCTCACCACCCCCAACAAAGTTTCCAGGGGACATCAAGTGCTCTCCCAAGCCAGGCCAGGCTTTTCCCTTTCCCAGCAGGCTGGAGGGAGGGACACCAAGCCACACGACGCCACCCAGCTCCCAGATTCGCCAGAGGCTCCATAGCAAAGAGACACTGTGGCCCCGTTCCCATGTCACCTGGACCCCCAAGTTGAGGCCAGGTGCAGCCCCATCCTGAGACTATACTGACCCTCCCTCCATGGTCCCCAGGGATCTCCCATGAGCTGTAGCTGGAGCCTTAACTGGCTGGAACTCTATCTGTTCTTATTCAACTTGTTTTACAAACAGAAAAAGAAAAAGTTTGTCTTGAATCATACGCTCTCTTAAGAACTATCTAGATGAGAGCCAGGTGACAACAGGGATGCAAATGATTAGAGAGAAACCTCAACCCCAAAACCAAACTCACTGCCATTAAGTCAGTGCCAACTCATAGCGACCCTAAAGGACAGAGTAGAACTGCCCCTGTGGGTTGTGGGAGACTGTAACTCTTTCTGGGAGTAGACAGC